ACAAGAACGCTACCAGCAGGGGCTCCTGGCATCGCTACTAGGAGCAAAGGGCATCGCTACTAGGAACAAGAACGCTACTAGGGGCTCCTGGCATCGCTACTAGGAGCAGGAAGCTACTAGTGACAAAGGGCATCGCTACTAGGAGCAAGAACGCTACTAGGGGCTCCTGGCATCGCTACTAGGAGCAAGAAGCTACTAGTAACAAAGGGCATCGCTACCAGGAACAAGAACGCTACCAGCAGGGGCTCCTGGCATCGCTACTAGGAGCAAAGGGCATCGCTACTAGGAACAAAGGGCATCGCCAAGTCATTACCGCCGTCACTCCACGGTGTCTGCAGTCTTTTTGGACGGTATCGTCACATCGTCATGAACCGACATGAAGCAACAAACATCAAACCAAGAAGCCAGGAAATGTGACAAGAAAGGTTGAAGGAAGGACCAAAGAAAGGTCTCGAGTCTAAGGTCTTAAGAAAGAAAGAAAAGAGAGTGGACGAAAAGAAATAAATCCAGGAAGAAAGAAACCTAATAGGGATGGCCTTCAACCTAATAGCAATGTCCTCCAACCTTCTAGCGATGGCCTCCACCCCAATAGGGTAGGTTAAAAAAACAAGGCAGAAACAAAAGGAGGAAACACAAATATCTGTCTGAAGGTCTCGCAAAGCTCGGCTCGAGACATCAATGAGCCTTCCTGGAGTGCCAACCAAGAGCTCAGCTCCTCGGACGTTGGACTCACGTGAGTGAAACCAACTCGCGTACAGCATTTTTTTTACCAAATAGCGATGGCCTCCGACCTAATAGCAATGGCCGGCCTACACCCTAATAGCGATGGCCTCCAACCCAATAGGGATGGCCTCCAACCCAATAGCGATGGCCTACACCCAAATAAAGATGGCCTCCACCCAATAGCGAGGCCTCGAACCTACTTGTAAACAAATCCAACCTAATAGCAATGGCCTCCATCCTAGTAGCGATGGCCTGCACCCTAATAGGAATGGCCTTCAACCTAGTTTGTTCACGCTTCGTACTTTGGGTGCTTTGTGTCTTGGGGTCTGTTTTATGGTGGCGGGAGAAACAATGTCTCTCTCTCTCTATATATAAATAATATATATGTCTCTACACGTCTGCTCTTTGCAGGACATTGTAGATACTTCCTTTCTTGATTGGAGGCCATCGCTACTGGGTTGGAGGCCATCGCTAGTAGGTTGGAGACCATTCCTAGTAGGTAGATACTTCCTTTCTTGCTTCTCAATCTTTTGCCTTTCAGTTTCATCGCCCGTTGTGAGATCGAAGCCACCTGCGCCGCCTCCCGCTGGCATCACCCCGATTCGTCCTTTCTTCAGCGCCGAGAGCTGTTCACCCATGGGCCCACCGCCATAGGCGCAAACGCTCGTGAGGTTCACCGCCTCAGTAGCCCGTTGAAGGTGGACCCGCAGGAGGCCCAATTGGATTGAGGGTCAGAGTGAACCAAAAGTAGCTATAGACTATATAGACCACTAGCGATATATAAAAACAACCTTTAGCATCTGTTATCTACTTTGTGTAAAGGGGTTTGGGATGAGCTTTGTCACCTGCCTCTCTTCTTTTTGTGTGGGTTCAGCGAGTGCACGGTGAGGAGTTGGCTCAAGAACGGCTTTTGACCATGTGCCTCAATGTGAAATCAATCGCGAACACTCCACATGCTCTACCCGACAAGCATGCTGCCACTACATGCCGAAGATGGTGATGCTGGCTTTGCTCTTTTTTTCCGTTTGCCATGACAAAGGTCCAAGACTTGTGTGTTCGTTCTAAGGATCCCCAGCCCAGTGCGCTAGCTAGCTTTCATTCTTTCCATGTGCCAATCCGCACACCAGTGGGTCAGTCCTTACCAAACTTTGAACCTCTCCGTGAACATCCCCAAATCCCCTCTACTAGCAAGCAAACTGTTTGATGATGCCGCATTCATGCCTTCACACGGAGGATGGACCAAATCCTATTCATGCTCCCTCTTTGGGTTTTTCAAAAACAAACTGGAGTGATGCAGGATCAGTATGTAGCTGCTGTCACTCCTCAAACCCACCAACTACGAGGACACTTCAAGTGTCTGTCCCTTCCGCCGCACGGTTCCGCCTTGCAAAAGGTGTTGGCCTCTCGCTGGATCTGCAGCGCTAGCTCACGTGTGGGCGCCACCTGAGACCCGTCTTCCTATTAGGTTGCGAGGCCATTGCTACTAGTAACACGGGCATCGCTACTAGTAGCAAGAACGCTACTAGTAGCTCCTGGCCGCACTACTAGTAGCAAGGGCGCTTCTAGGTTGGAGGCCATCGCTCTTTTGTCCGAGGACCGAGCCTCCCACTCGTGGATTTGCGGGTCCGGGTCATGGGTACATCGCTTGGCGGAAGCACTGGATGTCAGAATAAAGCACCGCCATTTGGGTGAACAGGCGAAGCCACATAGGTGACTAAATGTTAGGTAGCTTCCAGGCTTCTTGTTGCTAGTAACAATGGCCTCCAACCTACTACCTTCTTGTTACTAGTAGCTACATGTTACTACCCAGTCAAAGCAGAAGATGCGGCCCGCCCTAGGCCATGGCTTTTGGTGTGCAATCCGGTTTATTCCAATCACAACAAGAAGCTACTAGGTTGGAGGCCATCGCTACTAGTGACAAGAAGCTACTAGTAGCTCCTGGTCCCAAACCTGGTGCTTCTTCCTTTCCGAATAGCCACACACCTTCGGTCCTTTGGTGGTTCTTTCGTTTTGCAGCTACGAAGTGATATGAGCAAACTCATTTTGTTCCATCTTTCCTCTTTTCTCTTCTTGAGCTTGGTTTTCTTCAGACACTCTTTTCTTTGTAACTCATAGACCTTGTATTGTTTCTTTAGACATTGCTTTCTTTAGACTTTCTTTTTCCCTGGACTTGGTCCTACTTCATTGAAATACCAGGGGTGGGTTGGAATATGGCACGCTTTGCTCTCTTGTAGTCATATTTTCGATCTCCGTTACCTGACCTATGGACGGACACCAGGCGCTCAATTCCCCAGCAGAAACATTTGAACAACCAAGTGTTTCCCGAGCACGAACCTGTAAGTGGACTCGCGAGCACATTGGATGTGTGGAGTATAGAAATGACCACTTGGCCTAAGAAACAGAACATGATTTGAATCTTTAAAACCTGTCGGTCGAGACACCTCACGTTTAGAATGTTAAGTTTCCCCAAAAATCTAGGAACCAAACCATTAGTGCGAGCGTGAGCTATCCTGTAGCTACCTAGCTACTACTAACTACCTTTCCTTTTACTAAGTAGGCGCCTAAGTAGCCAGCTACCTACCTCCTAGCGGCCTACCCCCCCAGACTGAGCACGGAAGAGGTCGAGTCCATCTCGGTCTCCCTTCGTCCCTTGCGTTCCAGGGCGCCACGAAGCCGACGGGCCCGTCGCCGTTGGCGAGGGGCGGTTGGTCCATGATGTGCCTGGTGCGTGAAAGGATCATTCCACTCAAAGAACACAAAAACAATGAACCGTCTTCTTTTGTCTACTTATTATTCATAGGGGCAGAGGATAGGTCGTAGTAAGCTTAAGAGCGGCCAAGCAAGAGGTATGTAGCTACCGAGCTTAAGACATTTCTGCTTGGACACGGGTTCGGGCTTCCTCGAAGAAACGCGATTGGACCTTCCTTAATGATTTGGTTGGATTTGGGAACAAACATGATTGGACCACATGCTGACCGACATGGGTGTTTCCTTTTGTCCAACTATTAGTATCTCCAAAAACCCATGCCTCCTTGTTCATCTACCCCATACCGCCTGCAGGTGTTTGCCTTCTACAGTGGCAACTCACAGATTTAATTTTGGTCACTGACCAACGTGCACCAGCACGCTTATTTCCGTGCTCATTGGTGATGAGTGGCTTCATGAATGCCTTCCGAATGGACTTTTCCACTGGGTCTGAACACCTCATCTTTTTCCTAGCAACTTTGAACGCCTGATCAGGGGCAGCAGGTAGGCGATCGTCTTCCCCGATCCCGTCTGGGCAACACCTGTCGCGTGAAAATCAGGCGAGGCGAGAGGCATCCAAAGAGCACGGAGATGATGAGATGGTTCGTGCCAGTGTGTGAATCTATCTGGAAAAATTCCGTGACATGGTAGGAGTCTGCATGATGATGGCAACAAATGGTTGGAACACTTGGAATCGCAAAGTAGATTGCCACATATTGCCACCTACCCGAACCTGTGGGCGCTCACCTACTTACAACATGGCCCAGGCTATACTATCTGGTTCCATCAAGTCTTGGTTCCAAAGCTCCAAAGTCGGCGTAGAGTCTCTCGAACCTGGATCTTTCTGAAATTCCATTGATTTCCTCCCTCAAAGCCACGGCAGCCCTTTGTCAAAATGCCTTGGACAACGTTTCTTTCAAGTACTTTTAAGTAATTCGATCTTGTTTTTTGGATCTACCCACCTTCTTGATTTCGCCCAACTAAGAAACTACTAGGAGCAAAGGGCATCGCTACTAGGAGCAAGGACGCTACTAGGGGCTCCTGGCCTTACTACTAGGAACAAAAAACTACTTGGCGGATCAACACAGTCCCATGCCCAACACGGCCCAGCCATGGACGGTCAATCGTTGGGCCGCTGGCCGATGACGTCTCGGCCGCACATCAACGCCGGCATGGCCTCTCAGTCCGGCCGAGGCTCAACCAGGCGATGGGGATTTTCTGAAAGCGCTGACTTCTCAGCCCACTGTCGGGTAAGACATGCAAACACCTACAGAAGAACATTTGCTTGTTGAAATAGTACTCCCCCTTTTGAGGCCCTGGACAGCTAGTTACAACTGACATGTAGAAGTTCTCGTCTCCACTGCATTTCTTCTTCAAGCAGAATCGGCGCTGAGCCATTTAGGTAGGGCATATCGCGCGCCCCAACAAGCAGCACCTGCATCTGAATGGGAAAGGGAGTCTCGTACTCTCGCTTCTCCATGATTTTCAGGATCTTCTCCGGGAGCCCACACCTTTGCGGACAGCAGTATTGTGCGCGGTGAAGACTACTTGAAAACACCTGAAAAGCAACAAAACGAAAGCCAGCTTTTTTGTCAACGAGCACGTGGTTGGCCAAAGACAGCATGTTGCCAGGTATAGCACTTCAATTCCCTTTCCCTAAGCCGCTAGATAACCTTGAGAAACGTGCAGCAATCCACAGCTTTGAAGTCTCATTAGTGCTTTGAACTTATACAGGTGTGTAAGAGGTATAGCACAAGAACATTTATACGGACCTAGGGTAGCTACAATTCAGTTAGCACTTCAATTTCCCTTTCCCTAAGCCGCTAGATAACCTGAGAAATGTGCAGCAATCCAGAGCTTATATGTGTGTAAGAGGTTATGCATTCACAGCTGCACGAAGCTACAACACATCGGCCTCGGTAAAACTACACCTTACCATGCAGATGATGCAAATGCAAAAAATTGCATTTCTTACATCACCACCCGCTCAAACATCACAAAAAACACATCCAAAACAACCTCCAAAACCCCCCAGACCTTCTACAGCTGGCGCCTTCTACGAAGGCTAGCTTTCGTACCCTTTTAACTTGTTTGACACCATTTGCCACGCGAAGTACACATCACCCAACTGCAAAATGATGGGATCCCTTTGTCACAGGTCACGGAACTGGCATGACAGGAACCTCTGTGATTTTTTATCGGACCAGGTGACCTGTAGCACCGTAGCATGCTGAAACGGTTCAACAAACACAGGAATTGTGACATGGCCGAAGTATCGGTGTGGAAACAGCCAGATTTGCCTCTCTGTTTGAGTTGGAGGTTTGCAGCTTGGCTTTCGATATTTGTTGGGGGCAACCATTGTACTAGCTAAAGCAACATAACACGGTGAACACATCCAGTATCAGTATGTGTCGCAGGATGCTGGCACTCTATGACCGCGGATGAATGATCGCCTCGGGTGCAGCCTGGCGCAGCCTCGCCATTTTGGTGAAGCCCACATCGTCCGGAAGTGGAGACACATTTAAAGTCCAACATCATCGATGAGATGATTCATCTCCGGATTAAGAACAAGGGTTGTCTCCTTCTCAGCTCGAAGTCTCCCTTCTGACCCTCTGCGGAAACTCTGTGCTGCCCCGACTGTAGGAAACTCTTCACCGGATGAGGGCATCGCCTCGGGGACATCGCTTGTGACTCAACATCACGGCCAAAAAGAAGACATCAAGATCATCAAGGGCAAGAAAAGGGTAAAAGCAGGTCTAAGTAAAGAAAAAATCAACAGTCTAACTAAAGATAGGCAAGAAAACCACAGAAAAAAGGTGCACACCACAGAAACAAAAGGACACATGAAAATCCATATCCGCATTTCTTTCATCCTTTTGTAGCTACCCAGCTGGAAATTGATGGAGCCATCCCGCCAAGGTCTTCCATCAGATTTTCCCGTGGATCTCGTCCAAGTGCTGCACTGAAGCTCCATAGTTTGAGATGTTGGCTGATCAGAACGTTGGCTTCTTCGCCATCCAAGTGTTTCTACTGAACTTGGCCGTGAATCACACAGGTGTTGATGAACTCTGTATCCCATGCTCTACCCTAGCAACCCTTCTTTTCCGGAGCATCTCCATCGTTCCCTCCATCAAAAGAGCAGCCGACCTACCTACCTTTCTGAGGTCCCCTGCTTGCCCCGCACGGTGATATCTCCATGGGTCCGCCGGAGGTCCTCCACCTTGGCCGCAACTTTCTTTGTTTTTTCAACAAAGGATAGCGATGGCCTCCACCCGGCGATGGCCTCAAAGGACCTGCTGGAAGCGCTTTGACGCTCTATCCGTTCGTTGTTTGCCCCAACAGAACACTGGAGCTGAAAAGGAAGGGAATTCTGTCCAGTGGAGTGCGTGAGAAACCCCGTCGGCCGGAACAGAACACCGAGGGATCCCACCCACCTTGGAACAGCTGTGTTTGCTTGGAACAGGTATTTGTTGACAGGCGTCCTGCAACAAAATGTGATATGCTGGGGCGGAAATTTGCGCTAGAGGACACGCGCGCAGAGGGAACTCCACCCGCGGTTTCCTCAGCGGGATGATTTGCTGTGCAGCCGCGGCGGGTCCATGTCCTATTCCACCGCAATCGAAGAGATGATGTTCTGCCTGCTCTACTTGCTCCTAGTAGTATGGCCAGGAGCTACTAGTAGCTTTTTGTTACTACTAGTAAGGCACTTGTTACTAGAAGCGATGCACTTGTTCCTAGTAGCTTCTTGCTCCTAGTAGTATGGCCAGGAGCCCCTAGTATCAATCTGCCATCTTGCAGAACATCGCCAAGGGTTAGGTGCCCTTCACGGCTCTGGGTCGTGGGAGAGGCCGCTCTGTGCGAGAGGCCGCCGTTTGTGAAGTGGGCTGCAGCACCAAGTGTCTGCCTAGACGCAGACACTGACAGTGACACTATAGTTCTGAAGCCTCCCTGGAAAACGATGACCAGTGTTTCAGCGACGTAGGCTCAGTGGGCTCCGAAGACCATTGTGCAGAGTTTGATGGGCCTTGGTTGATGAATGGGCTGAGTCGGTCTTGGTTTCTTGAGGAGAAGACATTGGTCTGATTTTTGTTCTGGTGATTCGAGGCGGGGATTGCGTCCTCGATTGGGTCGTGGAAGACGGCAAATTATTGTATGGCTCATGACAGTTACTGTCGACATGCCGCAGTGGTCACTGGCACACTATCAAATAGAGGCTGACTATGAAGGAGAGAAACTTGAAACCCACTGATGGGTGACTGATTCCTCTGTAGAAGCTGTGGACGATGCACCAACTCTGTTGGACAGCAACCAGAATGCCAAAAATGTTCTTAGATCAAAGGTTTTGACCGATTCTGCCTGACAAAATTAGAGTCAGTGGAGGCCAAATCGCACACCGCATCGAGCTATTCCTTCGAGTGTCATCTCTCTCACAACCGGAAGACACTCCTCATAGTCACTGAAGCGATCAATAGCATCGTCAATGGGAGGCTTCTTCTTTGTCTTGGTGCTCGTCAATCTGCGCAACAAGGCCTTTGGTTGCATGCTGTTCCGCAGGTCAGCTGGGCATGACGGTGTGACGGTGTGCGGGTCGTTTGCATTGCATCTGAACTGCTTGCATCTCTTTGCCATGCCAAGCTGGAACAATGCGGCTGCCCAAACCTCCAACAATGCGGGTGCCCATCAATTTTGGCGATGAAGACGACAACTGTGCAGATTTTCGACAACTCTTCGAGGTGTTTGGATCAAGGCCACCTGGTGGCCACCTCTCCAATCATCAGCACCTTCGCACCGCACACAATTCCCAACGCTTGGATTTTCTTCCACAAGCAAGGCACGCAATTTTGTGCCTCCATCATTTCTTCATCATTGCCCCACTTTGTTTTGCAATCTCTCATCCTCTTGCATTTGGGGGGACAAGACATGAGGGTAGTAGTAGGATGGGGACATCACGCATTTCTTTTTTTGAGGCTCCCTGCCTCCTTACTTCATTTAGTAGGCGCCTACTTAATCAAGTAAGGGAGTAAGCAACATGCTCCTAGTTAGCTTCTAGTAACTGGACGCAGGCAGGACGTCCTCTTGCATCCCTTGGGGTGCCAAGTGGCTTCATGGTCCTTCATGTTGGTGATCTCTTTCACCTGGTGCTGCGAGTCATGCTGTGCCCGGCGCCCTCAGAACTGGGTGGAGGCGCTCTTAGGCTGGAGGCCATCGCTAGTAGGATGGCGGTCATTACTACTAGTAACAAGAAGCTACTAGTTAAGTTTCCATCAAAATCTAAGAACCAAATGATTAGTGCGAGCGCTTCTTCAAGGGCGGCGGGGGGAGCTTCCTTGAAGAAGCGTGAACACACACATATATATATATATGTCGTATTAGGAGAGAGAAGCGGGCTAAAGACAAAAGCATATTCGGACATGACAGCCAACCGCAAGGGATTTGGTGAATCAAGTGCAGGTAGAACTCCCAAAGCGACCAGTAGCGTTTAGCCATGCCCTGGGTTACTAGTAGCTTCTTGTTCCTAGTAGTAATGCCAGGAGCTACTAGTAGCGTCCTTGTTACTCGTACCAAGCATGGGATTCTGTTTAGTTGCTGTATATTGGATTCGGTCAAAATTCGGTGCTGCAGGTGTGGACATTGGCTGTTTCATGCGTCCATCCCTTGAAATCACCATGGTTGCGAGGTGCGAATTGACCCCGGGGAACACCTCTCAGCCAAACGACAAACGAGAACACTCATCTCATCCGAGGAGAGCTTTCCTGCGCGCCTGCACATACAGGTTTTTGCGGAAAGACTTGTAGTCGATCAAGTCATGATTGACCTGCCACTCACCGGTTCCGGCATCGATCAACCAATACCACAAAACGAGCAGACTGAACCAATTTGTCAGTTGTTCGTTTAGTTTTAACGAGCCCGCAGGCGGTTTCCAGCTAGTGGCACATCTTTGGATTCGCTCAACAGTGTGATGCTCCGAAGGAATCATCCCTTGACTTCGAACAACCTCTTCACCCTATTTTGACCATCATACCTAATAGCAAAAAAAACAAAGAGCGATGGCCTCCACATGGCCTCCACCCTACTAGCGATGGCCTCCAACCTGTAGCAAAGATACCCCAAACGTGACCATCATCTGTCCCTAGTTCCAGTCTCGGAGTCCCCGGCTGCAGGAAGGGTCTTCTTGGTGGTGAAGCCTCAGACTTCAACGGAATCAAGGGCCGCAATGGCCACAGGAGTAATTGATATCTCATGAGCTTCTACTTCAGGGCATGTACAACTTCCAAAGGTATAAACTTTCAAAGCTCCAAAACTTGTATTTAATGTGGAAAATCAATCGAAAAATATCCAAAACGAAACGAACACATGAAATCTGAGCAAAGGCGCGCTTCACCAGGTCGAAGTAGGACTCCATTTGCTCTTCACTGGATTGCTCACTCCTGTCGGGAGTAAGCACGTTCTCATCCAAACGTCTCCAAACCTCTTCTGCGCTCTTCAAACCCGAGAACGAACGACTTCAGAACATCTCCCCGGGGAGGCCATCGCTCTTAGGTTGGAGGCCATCGCTACTAGGTTCTTCAAATTCACTAGAAAGACTTCAGAACATCTCCCCGGCATCGGCTGATCTGTTCTCACCCCATGCGCCGCACCTGTCGGGGTCGCTCTCCATCCAATCGCCGTCGCCCTCGCCGAAGCCGTCCCGCGCACGCTTCTTGGCAGCGTCCGCCTTGGCCTCGTCGTGCGGAGAAGGTGGGTGGGCGATGCGACAGACACTGACTGGGTAGCAGAGGGCATCGCTACGAACGGAGCGATCGGACGCTACGAACGGGGCGCTCCTGCCATTACTAGCAAAAGGACGCTACTAGTCACAAATGTAAAGAACAAAGCTGTGCTACTTGGGGGATAACCTTCAGGTGAGATAAACATGAAGCAGTTGTGTTGTGCTTCCATTTCCGCAGAAGATGAGAAGTTTGGACGAGTCGTTTATTCCACTTCTGTGAGCGATTACAATTGGTTCTTTGGTGGGTAGGTTAATCATGCCATATACTGTTGCATTAAAGCAGTGATTCATCTGAGGTACGATCTTCTAAACCTTTTTAGTAGAGACCCCTGATGTAAGAACATCTTCTACGAACATCTTTGATATTTCTGTTCTAGCGTGGCTCGATGCAAACGGAACGCGTCTGAAGTGGCAATATTCCTTGGACGCTGATGCTGCTTCTGATGTTCAGAGAAACTCCACCCTGTTGAAGCTCCTCATCTTGCAAAGTCTCCATGCCAATCCCCTCTGCTTTGAACCCAACGTAGAGGCCCGAAGCTTCCGCTTTTCTCTGAAGGACCGAGGACGCTCCTAGTAGCGATGCTAGGAGCTACTAGTAGCTTCTTGTTCCTAGTAGTAAGGCCAGGAGCCCTAGTAGCGTTCTTTGTTCCTAGTAGCGATGCCCTTTGTTCGTAGTAGCAAATTCTGGCTGACCGCCCTGATTTTTGAAAGCTCCGCCACACAATCTTCGGAACCTCGAATCCACCAGGGCATTTGGATATCCGGACATCAACTCTTGATTGGATTGGATGGGAACCTTGTACGATGACTGGTGTAACCAAGCCAGCAACCCAGTTTTCTCGGAGAGTCCTTATCTACTTCTGAAATCGATGGACACCTCCCAACGAAACACCAAATCACCCTTCAACCCAAAGGTACATTCATGGACTTCCCAAACGTCCAGCCACCTCTGGTTTTCTCGGTGTCTGGCTGAAAGCAGGAAAAACACTGTTTCGTCTACTAGTTAAGTTTCCCTGAAAATCTAGGAATCAAATGATTAGTGCGTGAGCCATCCTGCGTCCAGTTACTAGAAACCAACTTGGTAGCTTGCTAGAGTGTCTGACTTAAGTAGGCAGTCTCTACTTAATTAAATGCCTACTAGGAACAAAGGGCATCGCTACTAGGAGCAAGGACGCTACGAGGAACAAAGGGCATCGCTACTAGGAGCAAGGATGCTCAGTGGGAGAGGGCTCAAAAAGAGGTGTTCAACCATCTCAACCCCACAACGACCTCTTTGGCTTCGTGCCTTGGCTTCCGCCTCTTTGGCCTCCCGTCGCTTCCTCCGCTTCTCCTGGGGCCCGTTTTCTCCTTTGTCTGTCCCTTCAAACGAAAGGATATATTCTAGTAGCTTCTTGCTCCTAGTAGTACGGCCAGGAGCCCCTAGTAGCGTCCTTTGTTCCTAGTAGCGTCCTTGCTAATGCCAGGAGCCCCTGATAGCGTCCTTTATTCCTAGTGGCGATGCCAGGAGCCCCTAGTAGCTTCTTGTAGCTTCTGCATCGAGAGACGGACATATTGAGTTTCCTGATCCATTCTCCTTGATGTAGGAGGTGTGAATGGTCGACAACTCACATCAATGACGAGTGATTTGGTCAGTTGGTAGAAAGAGCTGGTGCAGCTATACCAACTTGGGATACCAAATCCGCCCGCACCGAAGGTGCCGAGGGCGTCAGGGCTCGCATACACATCGCAAGGGAATATATCCGGCTAGATAAATCCTAAGCTTTAGTTTGGGGGGGCGCATTTTCTCCTAGAAATGCTTTTTGAAAAGTGACCAAAATTGGACCCGACGTTGGCGATGCCGGTTATGCCGGTCGGGACAGATCGCATTATCGACGTCGCAGACGTCTCGTAGATAGATACGTAGATAGACGGAGAGATAGCTAAGTAGATAGACGGAGATAGCTAAATAGATAGATATGTCGATAAATAGACAGATAGATAGACAGGTAGATAGACAGAGAGATAGCTAAAAAGATACATAGTTTGATAAATAGATAGGTAGATAGACGGCAAGATAGCTGAATAGATGGATGGGCAGATAAATAGATAGATAGATAGGTAAATCCGCCCGCGCCGTATAAATAGATAGATAGATAGATTAAAAAAATAGACTGACAGATAGACAAATCGAAAGAATAGATAAATAGATAGATAGATAGATAGGTAGAAAGACGGAGAGATAGCTAAGTAGATAGACGGAGAGATAGCTAAATAGATAGATAGGTAGATAAATAGACAGATAGATACATAGGTAGATAGACGGAGAGATAGCTAAATAGATACATAGTTTGATAAATAGATAGATAGATAGATAGGTAGATAGACGGCGAGATAGCTGAATAGATAGCTAGATAAATAAATAGATAGATAGATAAAAAGTAGACAGATAGATAGACAAATCGAAAATAAATAGATAGATGGAGATAGATAGATAGATTAGATAGATAGATCGATCGGATCGATAGATAGATAGATAGATAGATAGGTAGATATTATGGACATCGCAGAAATCGCAAACGTCTAGGCAAACCGTGGGACACTGTACGATTGATATCGTGGATGTGTTCGGTCGTGTGCCCAGTCCGACTGGATGAGGTGAATGGTTGTGGTGTTTGATGCCCACACCATGCGCTCCGCCCACCCAGAACCATCGGATGGCCTGAATATTAACCTTTACGCCTTGAAACATAAACTTTCTCAAATGACTGCGATCTGTGCGGGCGGCTTCGACCGCGAAGCGGTGTGAATATTTATATTCCACCAAAAAGAGGGTTGCAACATGCTACTTTAGCAAAGGAAACTCTAAGTTTTCGATATTGCTTAAACGTAGCTTTGGTTCAAAACGAGGGTCAACGATTTAATGTGTTGTGTGTAGCTGGATGAGCCAAGTGAACAAGTGACTGGTTACTTCTCTTGAGAGTTCCCCCAAACATGTTGCGACACTTTTGCTTGATAGTGCCCCAAACACTCAAGCATTGTATTATGCAACTCCCAAAAGAGCACATCAACAATCACCAAATCAGCATCACTTGTGTCTTGAGACCTCTTACCTTTGGGTCTGATCGAGGTGAGACCAGTTGTGCAACCAAACCTTGTTGATCAGTGCCCATTCCAGCTTCCCCCCATCCCACGTTCTGTGCGTTACGCTTCAAACACACGGATTTCAGCGAAACCAAACTTCAGGCGGCTGGGCCACAGAATATCTTCCGAGCCTTCTTGGTTTCCACTTCTTTCTCGACCTGGATCCGTCAGTTGGGTGTCGAACACCTACCCACCTAATCGTCCACCGAACCCAAAGCCTTTTGGTCGATGCTTCTAAGCAAAGTTTCTTGGAAGTGGATTTCTACCGACCCACGCTTTGTTTGGAGAGGCCTCGAATCAAAAGAAACAACATTTGCTTCAGCTCGAGCTATTTCCAGCAAAACCAAGCTGGTTGATGTATCTGTAATTCACCCAGAGTTGATTCTTTGGTGCAGTTTCGACACTTTTTGTCCAGGAAAAGCTCCCAAGACATCCCACTTCCAACATGTTTGTGTTTCACCTTATCTACCGCTGTTGAAGATGTATATACAGGTACTGGTGAAAAAATATCCTGTATCAACAAGACGGGTCCTGCTCTCCAGTATTTTTAATTTTGAAACATGGCCACCTCTTGCTCCAAAATGACACCATTTCAGGGTTGCAACGTAGTCGTATCTGGGCAATCAAAGGCAATCAAACTACACCTACTTTGCACCCAAAGTCTAGGCTCTAGCCGTGCAAAATTGCCAAATGCGTCATCACAGGATTAAACAATCAACATATCCTGAATCCAACCACAGAAGAAAACAAAGTTCTGACAGTTCATTCATTGCTCGGGCCCATTTCCAAGTCGGTTAAAACCAAATTGAAGTTGAAATCGAAACGCCCTGTAGTAAATTCTCAGAACATTCCCTGGGAATATCAGCCACCTTTAAATCCTCTGATTGTGTTGGATAGGTTAGTAACAAGAAGCTAGTAGTAACAAGTGCATCGCTACTAGTAACAA